GGTGTTCCCGTTTTCGTGCCGGCATCTCAGCTGTCCAATATCGTGTGAACAGAGCCTCAATGAACACTGTATACGATGTCTATACTAATCCATTCGGGTCTCAGTACAACAAAAACGTAATCAATATTCGTCAAGGCGGATTTTAAGGGAAGCGGAGAAAATAGAAACTGGTCCAATGACAAATGCATAAAAAATATGTGATTGGTTATACTGTAGTTGGATATGCTCACATTAAGTGCATGTCAGTACAGCGGGTTGCGATAATGACGAGTAGCACGACCATCTTCTGTCGATATTTTTTATGTTTTGTTTTCGTTTGAGGAAAGATAAAAGTAAAATTAAGGAATTTACCTTGAGGACCAAAATTTGATCATCTTGCAACAGTCAAAAAGCAAAATTTTATCCGTCCTAACGGCCTAGGGGGCCATAGAAGTACCTCTTCCTATTCAGTTCAGCCGAAAATCACACAGCCGAGACATTTCTGAACCTTGTTTACTGAAGATCAACCACACGAAGTATGATATCAACTGATTTGCTATGCATGATACCGATGAAGAGGCTATAGTCACAAACAAACACTGTCTATTGTAACAAAAAGTCTATAATTGTTGCACATCCCCATTTTGAAATCTTTACTTGATTTCTTACTTTCCTACTCTGAATACTAACAGAGGCAGAGATTTCGCTAAGTCGGCAAGACGCGCGAGGAAACACGAGTAAAGCATGTCACAAACAACTCAAAACTGATTGGTTTACTGCTTATATCGGTAAAAGTGTATGGCGCACAATTTCCTGGCCAACCCCAAACCGTCACAACGCTAAAAGAGAACATATGGAAAATGGTCGGCGCCAATTAATAGCGTAGCGCGCAAATGATGTCCGTGTGACGCGGGAGTATATTGTTGCGGATTGGCAATTTTTTGTATTTTGCGAAGACTAATTTGTGCGATTTTCAGAAAGTTCCCAGTATACTCAGTATTGATAATATTTTCGTTAATTAATTAATTAATTAATTTATTTATTTATTATTATTATTATTATTATTATTATTATTATTATTATTATAATATTATTTCGTTTACGTGCAATAGAAATACATATTTTCAAACATTACTACGGTATGCGTACCCAATGTTTTGTTTGTAAATGAAGGAGGCAGGTTGCAATTGAAATGAAATTTAGTTAGAGAATATTTATGCATCAGTCAATTCCAGCTGCGGGTTGATGCCGGGCTGTCAAATCCCCCGGGGCAAATGCCCCGTCCTCCGTCAACGCTGCAACATTTTCCATCGATCGCACAGTCGAGTAGTGCCATTTTAAGCATTTTAATGTGCGATTTTTTGTTTCAATTCACGTCTTCCTTTGTAATAGTGCTATTCTAATTAAGACTTCACGCCGTGACGACACCAGTTTATGGTTTTAGTACTGTTACAAAATTATGAACATTAAAATTAATAGTGCGCTGTAAAGTGAACTGTTATGAATAGTTTTATCAATATGAAAGGATGCTCTTTAAATAGTATCAACAAAAATTTGATTCAGTAACCATTAACACGTTGATTCACGTCGATAGCTCCCGATTTCGCTATGTAATTCTGGCTTGATAAGCAATGAAGAAATACATGCATAAAATCGAGAACATGCCTTTACAAACCTCTTCAGTCGTCAACCGCCCTTGACAGAGGGGCCGATCTGCTTGTTTTTCCAGTAAAATCCTCTGTGTAGTTACATTCTGATGAAACCGCGTGCGTGTCAAAAACTCGGGCAGCGCAAACTTTGCAAATGCCCCACCCCCGGGACTCACAAGGCAGGCAAATGCTCCGTAATAGCACAGCTTCCCCTCGGCTTTCCCTCGCTTCGCTCGATTTCCTCGCTCGCGCTTTCCTCGCCGCGTGACCATCCTAAGGGACTGCTCGCAGTCTGTTTGTTTGTCTGAGTTTCGAGTCTTTTAATAGTTACGTGCGCGCTGCGCTATTAAAACTTCTAAAATAGATTTATGTACTAGATTTATTTTATGTATGTAAATAGTTTTTTCCCTTTTTTTACTCGAAAATATTAGCCTTTCATAACTCTGGAATTCGAGTATAAATAAAGTTCATCTTATGTTACGTCTAAAAAGCGCCCATAAAAGATGGATAAGGAAAAAGAATCTTTCTCAGCAAATAACAAGAAATTCTCTAGAAAGCTCGCGCTATTAATGCCGTATTATTACATCAGTTTTGAATTCACCAATAAATTCTTTACGCCTACTTCTGCTTTCTGCTTAAAATGGGCCAGACTTGTGTCTCCTACAAGTTGTAAATCCCCAAGCACAAAAATCGCTCCACTGGGAACTTTACCCAGTGCGATGAAAGGATCCAATCCCTCGATTGTGGGACAAAAAACTTTCAGCTTTCATAGACCATCTCACTCATCGCCGGAGTGGCTTTCAGTGGAACTCTCCAATTGTTCTTCTTTAGCTACCATTTCGTTAGGGTCAGTTAAGACGCTTTCCTCGAAACTGAAAGGCGAGATCACAAATAATGAAATAACACGAGAAGAAAACAAGGAAAGTTCTCCTTCCAGTAAGAAACATCCAGGTAGGTTTTAAACATAAAGGGGAGAAAAGCTTTCATTCTTTTAAGTTCAAGTTCAAGTTCATTTATTCACACTTATTCAATACAACAACAAAAACAAAAAAAGAAGAAGTAAAAACAGAGCTACCTGTACATTGAATTAAACATAGCAAAGGGAAAAAGTGCGTAGCAGCCGAAGGAGCGAAGCTTTCGAGTTGGCTACTACCATCGGTTACAAGTGGGTGGAGGTTATACAATACTTATCAAAAACGCCTTCCTTGTGTTGTTTTTCACAGTGTCATGTTTCTTTGAGATAAAATTTTGGGACTTTTCAATTTCGTCGAATCTTTTTTTGAGGTCGAGAAGACTAGCTTTAAGCGAGTCGATTTCCTGCCGGATTTCCTTTCGGATATTGGGAAGAACTTCTTTTGCCGCAGCTCTTTCAAACTTTCCACAGTTAATCTCATGCTCTGGGTTACCCTGCTAGCAGAGGCTACATTTTCGCTGTGTGAGCTCGCGGGCGAAAAGTAGCCTCTGCCGACAACTGTTCAATTTTCTATCGTACATGCGCAAGCAAAATTAATCGTCAGGTCTGTCGTCAAATGGCACGAGTTTCGCGGGAATAAAAAAATTGCGACAGCTCTGATCTGCTACGTAAGACTCACGCAAGATTCACGCAATGCTCTAAACCGGCCAAGAACAGGAAAAAACCCGTTTGAACGGTTGTCGGCACAGGCTACTTTTCGCACGCCAGCTCACACATCGAAAATGTAGCTACTGCTCGCCAGGTAGCTCTGGGTTAAATTATGTACAGTTAAACACTTAAATTCTGTAAGGTTAAACTCTCCACGCGTTAAACTATCCACCCACCATCTTCGCGTTCGTTTTTTCATTCATTCATTCATTCATTCATTCATCCATCCATCCATCCATTCCTCCATTATCCGGCTACACAGTAATTTATACACTAATCTACATAGAGTCCATATAATGAACGAAATGAATGGATGATCGCATGCAACAAGATAGTAGCATACTCGCGGACACGATTTTCGCAACAGTTTTTTTCTTTCTTTCCTCCAGTTTTGACTGTTTCATTAGCCCTTTCTTATCAGGTATGCAGTTGTGTTTTTCTTTGTCATTTACATTGTTTCTTTACTTGATATGCCTCAATTGTTCACCTACAACCACCTTATGAACCTTAAAACATGCAAACACGAGTATTCTACGAACCGGTTGGCCCCAGGGCTCAAAACTGATTTTCTGTCACATAGGTCTTCTTACTCCTGAACCGGATGAGGATCTTTTGAATTCTACGTTATTACCGGACGAGGCAGCTCAGGAATTCAGCTCTTCAATGCCTCAGTTGATTGATGGAAGACAATCACGTGTCGGGGAACTCAGGAGTGTACCTCGAGTCTCGACTCCGAGACCATGGGAATCCGGACTAATAATAGTGAAGCCTTACTTAGGTTAGACAAAGCGATTCGGCTTCAGCGTATACTGTAGATACACTGTTGATAAATCGGTTACTCCAAAAGATTTCGTACTATATATATGGGTAAATTTACGAGTGGGCAAGATGAAGCGAATCCGTGTTCTATCGGCGACGGCGAGCGAGCACTGACGACCCATCTTGCCCTCGCGGGATTTCCCACTTTAGCCCCGCAAAAGAGGCCTCTTTTTGGCCACATCAGTAACAAATCCTTTTTTAACCAAGTTCGTTCGGTCAATACGGCTGGATATTGGCCTTAATCTCTTTTTGCGTGCCTATTGACCTTAGTCAATAACCAACCATTTGACCTCACGCTTGACTCGCTTGGTTAATAATACAAATCCTCAACTTCGTTCCTAGTGTTCTCTCCTACTCGTCCCTCTCTCTCGCTCCGTACGGACGAGTTGGCCGCACCCAAACAGAGCAATTGACTGCGCCTCACAGAACACCCGATTCCAAAGCTTACACATAAAACCGGAGAAATACTTAAGTGTGCACCTAGCTACTCAGAAGTTAACTAACATGCACTTTTCCTGTACACTCAGCATCGTAAATAATACCAATCACAGGAAGGTACTGCTCATTCGCTACTTTAGATCAATAGAAACGAGAGGGGAACTGGAGCCGAAATTCGTCCCAAAATTGTTTCTGGGATCGCTACCGGACAGCTGTTAGGTAATGTTTCCCCAGAAGTCCTATGGTGGTGCGATGGAAAAAGGACTATAGTTTTTTTTTTAAAAATCAGAGCTTACATTTCCAGAGATATGCTGCTGTCGCACAAAATTCACAGTCATAATCAAAGGCATGATAAAAATCCTCCCCCGCCAATGAAGATTACTGAAGCTATCAGAGTACCACTCGCGCGACTTCGGTTGTGATAGGCCACGATTGGAAATCATACGCATCATCTGAGAATAAATTTATCTCAGTAACTTTGAACTTTCTTACTGCTAAGATTCCATGCTTCTAACGAACCATACACTCAACATAAGAGGAAGCAATATCAGCTTCCTATCGGACGCAACATCAAACGAGCCACTTCTTGGTTCAATTGTATCTTTGTCTACGAATGCGCCAGTTTCAGTTGCGTTTTTGAAGGTCTCTTGTTTCTTATTGCATTCGTCGCCATAGCAACAGTGGACGCAAACTTTCCTCGTTCCAGAACCTGCCACTTTTACTTCCCTACATCCGTCGTTGCATGAGTAGCCGCGCAACGAGTTGTCACTTGAACAACCAAGCATTATTGGTACAACGCTAAAATGTAGACAAAACAAGAAGAATTATTTGTGAGCAACCTATATTGTAGGCCCCTGAAGAAGGCTGAAGAAATAACTAGGGGGTTTTCTTTCAATGGGAAAGTCCAAAAACGGATTTTGTGCCTCTTCTGAGCTTTTAATTCAAAAGATGCATACTAGGAATGGATTCATTAGAGAGCATAAATCCGGGTGTCTAGGATTTATGAACCATCAACCTTATTCCAACGGTGCTTAATTAGCCTGCGTAGCAGGCGCTTGGAAGTAGTGGGTGAAAGAGAGAACGGACGCGCGCGTGGGAGACACGCGAGGGGTGAGGGAGCGTGTCTCCTTCTCGCGCGCCCGTTTTTTCTTGCCCATTACTTCTAAGCGCAGGCTACGGTGCTTTCCCTGGCTTGGCGGGCGGTGTAGATTTGAAAATATGAGGCTGCCGTCACGTTCTTGCCTGTTCACGCCAATGTTGGTTGAATGAAATAAAAGAACCTGAGATCAAGAGACTAATCTTGGATCTTGCTTTAAAAGAAACGCATCCAAAATAAGCGACGCTCATTTCAAGCGCTAGGCGTCTTATTTTACAGAGCGGACTTGTGTCACCAGCTCTGCCGTTTCTCCCGCGCCATTGCGGGTGGGGGGGCATTTCAGGGAAATTTTGGGTTAAGGTGTGCTGCAGAGGCCTTAAAACCTGCCCTTTTTGCATAATATAGAACTTTAAAAAAGATCGTATTTTATGCCCTGATTAGTTCCAATTTGCATACAGAATGAAAATTTTTCAAACTAGTATCATAAAAAGTGTTGGTATCACATTTGTAGACCGCCCATCGCCGACCTTCACCAAAAGACACCGTCTTCAATACACTAAACCCATGCCATACCCTGTTCAGTGGGACATACCCTTGTAGGCAACATAAGGGAGTGCCTTCCTAGGGATCGATTACCGGGCTTTGGTTACTTTTACGAGATCGTCGCTTTTTGACGAGTTTACGCGACAACATGATGAATGTATACTCCAAATGTAGAATATAGAACGAGAAAAAAAAATTAATCCTTTGTAGTTATTTCATTGTGTCATTCTCACTTGAATCTACGGTAAATTGGCTAAATCCAAAAAACTACTAAAAAATGCTCCGACTGCGATATTCATAATTCGTGGCTAAAAGATGCATCCAGAAATGACCAGTATTTCGACATTTTTCGTTCTTTTTTGGTGAACATACGATATTATTTTTCCGTTGCATTACTGACTCGTCATTTTGCTCGCGCACTCATTTGTTTCTCCTTACAGAACGACGGTCCCCTAAAAGTAACGAAAGCCGATTACCGCCTAGTTTGGTGCCCACTTTTACGTTTTGCCTCAAGCATCCTAGTCATAAGACCTCATGTACTTATAAGGAAGGAACAGCTGACTTTGTCGGAGGCTCGTTGCCATAGTCGTTAATTGTCCTAATAAGTTTTTAAATTTGATAAGATTCGATCAGCAAAAAATCGCCTATTACTACGATTTGACAAAACTTACCTCGAGTTTGTTCCTACAGTATTATTCTTTTTTTCGAGAGTGACGGCGAGGCATTGATCGCCAGGAGGACACTGTCTGGTTGTCATTTTATCATTAAGGCATTCTCGCCCTTTACATTGCAAGCACCGAGGACCATTTTCAATTGCGGCCAGCTGAAGATATCTTTCTAGTGTCCATACACAGCACTCCGTCCCAGGATGCAAGCGGCCACCTGAGGATGAGTTAGTTACCAGTTTTCGAACATGTCCAACTTCCAGACACACCTGCTCGCAAGAGTACAGTTTGGTCTCTTCGGCTCCTTTTGCGTCCAAAATGGTTTCTTTTAATGCCGAGAAACAAACTTCTCGTCCGTGGAACTTTGCTTTGAGGTTTTTTGCCAATGGGTATATTTGTCCATCGTTTGATATTTTATGATGCAGGACTGTTAGAAGAAGCGGTTTATCTCGTTGGAAGTTGACTGACGCTCCCTTGAAGTGTTGAATGCGTATCGTGAGAGAATTTGCGCTACCAGTTAAACCGTCACGCGGATTGCATGACGCCTGAGGAGCCAGTGGTTTACAGTTTGCCAGATGAAGACAGTACCAAAAAACAAGGAGATAAATAGAGACTGGTCGTTGTACAAGTCTGAGATTCATTTTTAACCTCTCTGTTGAACGTTGTTCCATTTGATTTCTGCTCAAGGATAGTCGAGAGTGAGTATTTATGGTTTCCGAGCCGAAGGATCCGCCTTTACTTTATAGCGAATCAAGTGACACAGGCGTGATATGCTACACTCACTTCCGATTATTGTTTACGTGGAGTGTCGCCTTCCGTTTATGATAACACAAACGATACTACGCCATATAAGTCCAGTATTCAGTCCCGACAAAGATCATATGAGGGTTAAGATTTTCATAGGTTGATGGTCAAGTTGCGCAACTAATCGTACAAGCTGCTGACAGAAGTAAATTAAACAGGATTTTTTAAGTAAAAATAACAAGTGTCTCATTAGTAAAAATAAAAATAGTAGTAATGACCTCCTTAATTGAAGACCATTCCAGTGGTGAAGTGAATACGGTATCCCTATTTGTAGTTGTAATAGTAAAGATTCCCCCTTATATTAGTACTACAATCCTCGCAAAAACCGTGACATCCCATATTCCAAAAGCACGGCCCTTAAACCATGTTAATTTTAATACCTGAATACATTAGATTTTTCAAGTCAAAGAAGATGGTTTCTCTGGCCGTGGTAACGTAACTTAAATTACGTTTAACAAAAAGTAAAAAGCAGAAGCAAAAAGTAAAACCGACAGCGAAACAATAATGCTGCTTCTTTTTTTTTTTACCTTATTTGTTCATAATGCGTGACTTCCGCTGATTATGTCAAATTTAAAGAACCACGAAATTCATGAAGCTGGTTACATGTCAGATTGCTTCACTAAAGCCACGAAAGTTAAACTAACCTTAACTGTTAATAAAATAATCCTGTTCAATATATGATTCATCAACACCTCAAGTTCTCAGCAACAGCAAAATATGGGGGTTTTAAGCTGGAAAAGAACCACGCAATTTAAATACATAGTATATCGTTTTGAGTTGTGGTTTCCGTATCATTCATTTTACGATTTGTTAATCCGTCAATCCGGGTCAATAGAGAGTAAAATACGTGCATAGGCACAATTCCTTTTTTCCAGTTCTTAAGAGATGGCAATTCCCTTCAATGTAACGCCATCGAATTCTATTTCATTATCATTTTTTCCCCCTCAAGAACACGTGCGAAACGAACAACGTAGTATCTTTTCTCTCTCTCGTCCACTGCAATAAAAGTAACATCCATTTATTTTTAAAAAAGAAATAAAATGTTTCTTAATCTAGTTTCCTTCCTTGGCAGGACGTTTTATACTTACTTCCCTATACATATCGTTTAGATTTATTCTCTTAAACCAGTATTGCCTTATGAAGCGAGAGCGAGACCTCTTTCGCTGTTCATTACGCTTCTTCAGTGTATCGTTTTCGCTATTGACTACTTCCATTCAGTTTGTTGAAAAATACCCGCTTACATTACCTTCTCATCCCAGGGGCATAATCTTCAATCTTGAAGAGCCTTTATTCAATAAACGGTAATTATATAAACATGTCTTAGAGGGCGCCATCCCCGGTACATTATGATTACGTACGGTGAAAGCTTTTGTAAATCTTTTTTCCTTTTCCTTTCCTTTTTTTATTATTTATTTCTAGAGTACTGTTTTGTACTGAAATCTTTTTATCCTGCATGCGATTTATTTACATCAGTGGAATAAATAGATTAGCATAGTAATGGGTAATACCTCATAACTGGGCGGAAACGCTTTTCTGTTGCGTTGTTGTTTGAAGATACGGTAAGTCATAACACACAGTGCTGCATTTTAATGGCATAATGTTGGATACAGTGTCATATGAAGGCTTGTTTTGTTACAGGCAAGAGCATGGACAAGCCGATTACCGAGTGTGCGTTGACCTTTCTTGGTCATTTTGATTTAAAAAAAAAAAATTACTTTTAAGCGTGATTTTATGACCAAGTAAAGAGGATTTGCCAGTTGCTGCGAGATGACGTCATCGAATAACCGCCCCAACCCACGCATCCCGTGTCAGAAGAGTTTTAGCCCTCGCTCTCGCCCAGTAAATTCCCCTGGCTTAGAAAGGGCGCTCAGGTACCGCTTAAAAAGATAAATACTTCAATCTCTCGTTATGGCTAATTCCGGCTTCAATTCCAGCCTTAAAACGAAGAGATGTTGCTTTCTTGAGGGAAGAACGAAACAGAGACGGGACGAAACAGAAAAAAAAGAAAAAAAAACTTTTTCAATGAGGCGTGATTGAGTAACTAGTTTTTGGTTTCTGAGTTTTGCCATCCACCGGGCTTTACAATTGGTGTATTGTAAAACTTCAAAATGGCAATCCGTGTAACTGTACAGTGAGTGAAAACGGAGGACAAGAGTTAATTAGAGTTAATTTAGACGTTAATTCCGTCTAATTTTTTTTTCAATCCTGATCTAACGAGGATGCTTCTGAGCTGCTGGGAGCGGAAACTTTAGCTGGAGAGGTATTAGAAAAATATTCAGTTCCCACTGGATGACAATTCCGATCCGTCGCTCCGCCGACCGCACTCTCCCCCTCCCCAGTTCGTCGTGCGGCTGGCTTCTATCGCCGATTTTTAGCTTCCCGTACGCTTTTTTTTTTTTTTTTTTTTTTAACCAAGGGGGCCTGGTCCCAGGCCGGCTAAGCTAAACCTTGACAGTCAACACATTAACATCTGACGGCAAGCAGCTCGGAAGTACTCAGTATTGCTCAGATAATTTAGATTGGAACACACGATTAGAATATTTATTAACCTGCTTTAATACTTCCGTTAATTCTGTAACGTGTCGCGAGGCCAGTGTCCAACTACGCACTAGGCTCCCGACATTGAGTGACCAATGCTCAAAGACACCAAAATTGCGATTTGTGCTGAGCACACGCGCTTCGAGAACTTTACTTAGTACATGGAATGACAACTCAATTGCGTAAAACGATTAAAAGGGGGAGTTTCAAGTGTAAGTTTCACTAAACGGTGCAATCTTATTTAGCTGAGAAGTAATACCGGTACAAAGACAGTTGCAGAATTTGTTTAAAGGTTATAGCCAAATTAGCGATGACATAAGTTCTATACTACAAGTTTCGGCGTGAAATCACAATCAAAGTCCTTTTTAAGAATAAGATGAAATACGATTTTTAAGCCGCGTGACTCCAGTTACTTCATAAAGAAATATTTGATCCTTTAAAAATTAAAAAATATAAAAAAGTTCTTTATAGATTTGGATTTTACATCGCTGATGTTGCAGTTTTGCTACAAGTTCTAGCAAATATGAAAACAAGTTTTAGTTTTTGGTTATACAAGGAATTGTTTCATTGATTCGCGTGATTTTTTACCCATTTCATTTACGTAAAACTTTTGATTCTGTTGAAATGCAAAGCCTACTTTATTCTTGGCTTTCCCCTGTGCGAAAAAGAAAGGTGGTAGTGCTAGTACATTACTCAGCTCCGATGTGAAAATTCTGTCATAGGAAATACAGAAAACCTTTTAAGGTGTTAAAAAGCAGTTTCCGGTTCGCGTGACCCGTTTCCAGACATAACGTAATGACTATTTATAGAATCTGCGAAGGGGTGCATGTTGCGGGACGCCCCTCGCTTTATAACTGATATTTTTGACTCTCGGTTTGGGGGAAAAAATCACCATTATACATCCTATTTGAGCCTAAGACGATTTTAAAACTGTAGCGCTGCATAGCATGTGGAATTATGAAAATACACTTGCCCCTTTTCGCCGTCCGGAAGCGGCAACATGTTGAAATCCCAGGTGAATTATATTTGCCCGATATTTTATTATACATACATATATGCGAAACACAGGAAACACATGGCCTGCGAATTTATTGCTTTAGAAAAATTCCTAGCTGCGTGGAACGATAAATAGAGGTTGATGACGAGGAAGAACTTCAGGCATTAGGAACCTTTACATTCTAAGACAAGGACGGCTACGAGTACGAGATTTTCACACCACTACTGCAATGCGCGCACGTGAACCAGCGTCATTTTCGCGAGAAAACTTGATAGTCGTCTTCATTCTACTACGAGGTTTAGCGGGAATGTTATGTCAAGATAACAGTGCTAACTTTTCGGGTGAATCAAAAGTACAATGAAGCTTTCCGGAGAGTCTATTTTTTGAAAATACGCGCAAAAACTTTAAGTCAAATCTCGCACTCGTATAGCCGTTCTCGTCCTCGAATCTAAAGGTCTCTATTGGCTCTTACGTTAGGATCTATGCCGCTTTCATGGCGGTTTAAATGAAGGAAAAGTTTACTCCACCTGAGAAGAAAATCATCCTAATAACGATAATAAAAAAAATTATTAATTTGAACACTTTAATTCTTCATAAGTTCTCTGAGACATGACGTAGCATAACACGATGGCTCTAGGAAAAACGAAATTTTAACATCATTACAGCAGTTACCAGAAATGGAAAGCTCTTCTTCTCTGTCTCCCTTTCTACAATAATCATCTGTAATGAGCCTCGGTCTTTTCACGTCTTCGCCATCAAAATTCGAGCTTGTTGGCGATGTACACTTGTTGACGGACGCTCCAGTTTCCGCGCTGGTTTTGTTTATGAACGTCCAAGACAAGTCTCTTGGGAACGCTACAAGTTTTCTGTAGGCACCAGGCACGTTCATGCCAAGGCTCCGCAGTCTATAAGATAAGAAAGCAATAAAAATAACTGTATTTTCTGTCTTAAGCATATGCTAAAATTTAAACGTTCTACTCAGACTAATGCCTCCAGCCATCAGCTACCTATCAATTCCATCTTGGGGAGCACAAGCATGACAAATATTAGACTGACTGAGCTTACCGCCGCCTGGTTAGCTCCTTTGAGAGAGCGCCGGTGTGCCGAGCTCAAACTGACCCCGGCAGGGCCAACAACCGGAATCTTTAAAAAAACTGGCAAGAATAGATATCATCCTGGCTGTGGTCTAACATCTTGGATGTTTACCATTTGCAAAAAGCTTCCGGAAAATCCGGTTGGAAACGGTAAATGGAACTTGACTTATCGGGTCGTTTTAGAAGCAAATTTCCGGGAGCAAGGGAACGTCTAAAAAGGTACTCCTGATTTTTCGGTCGGAATGTTCCAATCGGAAATTCGTGTTCCATTTCTTCAAAGCCCGTCTTAAAAACCAGTTTCAGACTTTCGCGGCCGTTTTTCGGTGAATGGAACTGATCTGTACAAATGGTGAATATTGAATTACCATCTGCTCAAACCCTGAACCGTCCGGTTTGTCCATGTAAATGGTAAACAACCCTTGTCTCGGTTCAGATGATCGCGTTATTGGAAGGTGACGTTAAAGCTTGGCCTTATCTCCTTCATCGTGTCCTTTCAATTGGAAGAGGACGTTATACGAAAGGAGTAGAGGACGTAACCTCGATACTGTGGTCGATCTCTCATAGGGGTAAACAGGACTCTAACGCGCCTACAATGGCCATGTTAAAAATTGGCGAATATAAGTAAACCGACAAAATTGACTAAAAACACAGCGGCAAAGATCAAAATGGATCAAAGTCACGGCTTAACTGACACACGACCAAAGAAATCAATCAATCCATCAATCAATCAATCAATCAATCAATCAATCAATCAATTAATCAATCAGTCAATCCATCGATCAATCAATCAATCAACCAACCAATCAATCGATCGATCGATCGATCAATCAATCAATCAATCAATCAAGCAATCAATCAATCAATCAATCAATCAATCAAGCAATCAATCAATCCATCAATCAATCAATCGATCAATCAATCGATCAATCAATCAAACAATCAATCAATCAATCGATTGATCAATCAATTAATCAATCAATCAATCAATCGATCAATCAAACAATCATTCAAGTTGTTGCTGATACACCACTCACTTCCGAACAGGTAGGTTTTCAAACCGTCAGCCCCTGTATCCAAAAAATAGGACTACAACTCACCCAAATTCCACCTATTTATATATACAGCTTGTTATATAATCAATATGGCGTTTAAGTTAGGCGAGGAAACTAACCTGAAATTTTTTGTGGTTAATTCATCCGATTCCAGCCTTTTCTTGTAACTAAAATCAATAAGGAAACAAATAGTCTCTATGGTAGCTTTCACCAAATGTCCTCATGGTTAAAAGTTCAATAAAACACGCATGGCAAAGGGCTTTTTTAAGGAAACAAATGTGAAAAAAAAGATAATAATAAAAACAATAAAAACAATAAGACAATTAAAAAAAATAGATAAATAAATAAATAAAAAATTCAACATGAACGATGTCCAAAAACCAGTCAATTGCCAGCAACCAAACCCCACAACTCATCTTTCCTTTAAATTTTTGCAATGCTTTATTTTTCCGGTGTGGTAATACTACAACACGCTACGCGAAATTGAAACTTTAAACTCGCAAACCTAATTTACACATATAAAGTGCGCTGAAAAAAAATGCAGCTCTGACAATAAAGTATTTTTAAAGTGTGGGCGCGAACGAAAGAAACGTATGTCTTAATCAGTAAAAATTCCTTTGAAAATTATTTACGTCTTTCTCTGGGAACACTAGGATATATAACACATGGAATTCCCAGGGTGCCGGGAAGACAGGCGAGAAAACTTACGTTTCACCCACGTCATTTGCAGGATACTGAACACTATATCCTGGAAGAGGAAGAACAATGTCTCTTAAGCGATATACTTCTTGTTCGTGATTCGCTATACATTTCACGTGATCCCGGGTCAAAGCACCACTGTCAACTGCCAAAGTACAATCATGGCTGCCGTCAGCGGTTGGCCTATCAAGTCCACGCGCAGTTGCTGCCTTATCTACGACTAAATCTCCTTCGACCACCGCTGACCGTCCATACCGTTGTATTCTGTAGGAGGCCATGTAATTCCAGATGAGACTGCAATAGCTATGAACGTACAATAATCGCATAGGATATGGAATGTTCAACAACGCCTTCCGACAGCCATCCTGGTGGAAAGAACAAAAGATCCCTCGTCATGTTCCTCGATTTTTAAAGCGAAAGAAACTATGTATAATGGTACAAAAGTAAGTACCTTTGAACGAAATTCCTAACGGCAGCGGCTAAGCCCGGGGGGCTACTTAACAAAGTTTTATACGGAGCAGCTTCACCCTGAGGTCCAATCCCTTACCCTTTTATATACCATTTCTTACAAAAAAAGGCACCCTTTTTGATTTTGATTAGGGAGAAATACAGAGTTACAAGACTCAAAGTAGTGTTTCCTCTTCCATACACACCATGTCAGTGCCATGTCTGTGCAGAGCTTTGAGGACTAATGTTTCGCGGACTTTGTAACCAGGCATTTTACCCAGAGTACCTTGCACGTCACCCGTCTCACAGTAATATCTGCGACGAAAAACAAAACCGAATGAATGAACAAATATGGAGAGCAGGAAAATGAAGAAAGAGGAAGAATGAGAGACGGAGAAGAATATTGAAAGAAGAGAACAACAACTAGCCTGAGATGCAGCCGGCCCACGCATAGTTTAGACTCAAAAGGGCCAGTTGTTTCAACGCAGTTCAGCCCGTGTTTTACAAAAGCGCGTTCTGGGCCATTTTCAGTTTGCCTAACGCTTTTATCTTAACACCATTCATCGTGAAAAGTTTCAGGAAAGCAGGAGTAGACTGGAAAAGCACTTATTTCATTCTTAAAATAACCCACTTAGGAAGATATCTGGAGGTCCAAAGATTTGCTAAACCGCCGCCTAAATTTAGCCTGTGTACAGACTGCCCCTTCCCTCAAGAAAAATCAGGGGATGGGAGAGTGATGGGGGCTGTACACAGGCTACCTAAATTTAAATTTGTTTAAATAACCGACCCAGAGTGTCTGCGACGCAGCTAACCGATAACCAACACTGCAGAATACCCCGCCGTGATATCAATTTTTTTTTTTCAGATTTATTCTTGAATATTCATCGCCAGTTCAAAGGAGAGCTGTTAGTTTTAATTGCCTCGCACACAGGGTTCAAAGAGTTACTGCTTCCAGTAACGCATTCGAAAATAACAGAAACGGTAGGGTAATCTGTCGCACGCACGTAAAAAAATTCTGTCCGAAAACACTGAAAAACTTAGAGCCCAACAAAGGACCGAATTACAAAGTACCTTTTAGCAATATTAACAGGATGGTCCGGACTATGATCCGATGGAGTCAAAAGCAACTTGACCGCCTTGATCTGCATGATGACAAAATATCTGATTCACTCATTAGGTTTGGTTGGCACATAAGGCAACGACACCCATAACAGAGGCGTGCCATAAAGAAAGAAGGATAAACTGCCCCTAACTGGGCATTATTGTCACACCAGATTATAAGGTTGCTTTCAAGAGAGGAAAAGCTACCATTGGCTGCTTTACATCATGCAAAAAATTCCGTAAAGTTTGGTCAAAAAGTAGGGAACGGTTTGGTTCAGGTGAAATTGCGGAAAAATGACGTGGTATTTTTGACTTGTGGATTCGATCCAACCGAACATTATCGCTATTTTACAAATATGTACTTATTTCTACTTCCGGTTCTTGTCCTACGTGGATGACGTCACCATGCTTCCCACCCCCTCCCCGCCCTTAATAGATTCGTTAAGGGGTGTACCCAGACTAGCCTTTTCGCAAGGGGGGTTGAAAATGCCTGAAAAAGGAGTGCACCGTAGTGACGTAGGTATATTGCCAGCTCATTTATTGGTGGTTAAAAAACGGGGTCTTGTTAAATAATCTTATAACTATCCACAACAGCATTGTCATACATATTTGACATGTACAGAAGCTTTAGATTCTGAGACGAGGACGACTACGAGTACGAGATTTTCTCAATACTGAGTATTGCTCACGCGTGAACCAGCGTCATTTTGGCGGGAAATCGTCATTCTACTACGAGTTTTAGCGAGAATGTCTTAGTGGCGGGAGCAAGTTATCAAATGTAAGAAGTGTTATCAATTTGCTATCGGGAGAGGGCTTAACCTCCTTCAGTATAAATAAACGATTTTTTTTAGAACACGCGCAAAAACTTTAAGTTAAATCCCGTACACGTACTCGTTCTCGTCGTCAAATCTAAAGCTCTTTAAAATTGCCATAATTTGTACAAAAAGGGAAAGGAGGATTCTGGAAGCTTCTTGAGCCCTCAGGGCACGAACCTGTCTATTTTCAATACAACAGCCTACCATATCTCCCTGAAGCATGGCCAGTCCAATGTCACAAGCATTCACCTCTTTGTCATCCAAACCAAACCTTTGAGGTCCAAAATAGTTTAAGAATCCAAAATGGGACAAAGAAGACATTGCATTCTGCAAAAAATAAGAAGAAAACCTGTAATGTTCATGATGTAGGTAGAATCCGTGTTCACGTTTACTCAACCTAGTTTGATTTAGAATTTCCATTATTTTGCTAGCCATAATCATTAATTTGAGGCAAAGGAAATTCTGATTTAACCTGAAAAACAATTTACCTGCAACATACACACTATTTTAGGATAGAAGTAGAAAAAGTGAAAATAATCATTAACACCCCACTGACTGAAAAAATAAAAATAAATAGATAAATAAATAAAAATAATGAAAAAAAAAAACAAAAAAAAAACACCAACTGCCCTAAAACTGAAAAAATGCTTCTTTACTGTCACAAACCTCAATGTTTTTCTTGCATTTTTCAAGGTTATCTTCATGGCTGCAATAATATAAAGAAAAATAATAATATTCTTTTTATTGCTCCTAAAAGGTACTTAAGAAACCAATAAAGTAAGACAAAATCCAAAGAATGATCAAAGTCCCAAAACTGAAAATACATAATTAACCCATTCGCCCCTGAACCGCCCGTAACCGCCCGTGCCGATCCAGGTCCTTTCTACCCTTTGTGACGTCATCAGTTTTAACGGTCAAGGACAACTTTCTTCGCTGACTTGTGCAGAGTGAAGAGATCTTTCAAACCATACCAGAATGAGCACAATTCAGTCAAGGACACTAAATGAGGCAAGAAAAGCGAAAAAAGAAGGGAGGAGAGAAAGCGAAAAGTAAAAGTCAAGACTGCTGTGTCACTTTTAAACCCAAAAACTATCTCGAAATTTTGCTTTCTGCGCATGCCCGAACTTCGCAAACTGATATTTTGCATCTGGATCAGAAGGCCGCGAAGTGTACGACCTGTAAACCGGTTTGTGGTAAGTTTTAGCTCTTTATAGCACGACAGTGACCAGAAAACCACTCGACTAGCTTCAAAACGCCTTTTTTGGCAAAATCTCCAGGAGCGAATGGGTTAAGTTTAAACATAAAAATAAACAAATAAAACAAATAAATAATCAAGGAAGTAGAACATAAGCATTAGTAAAATATTGCTTTCATAAGTTCACATTGTAGAGTAATATTAACTTTCCCACCTTGCTTTACATTCCATATTTCTGATGACAACTTGAAAATGATTCCCACTTAGTGCACCCATCCTGAGAGGTGTCCTCACACCTCTCCTGTAGGTGCCAAATTCTATCCCTTCTAGGGAGGGGTGGCCTTCAACAGCACGCATCCTGTAAAAATATTTAAGGAAGTAAGGCCAACCTCACTCCTATGGCGACGTCATATCCCTGTCTTACCTCACGACTCAGTATAAGTGGAAACGACTATGCTTACTCAATGGTAAAAAGTTAAGGTAAATTTCTTGTTTATAGTGGAGGCACTGGCCTCCTAAAAAATTTTCAAGAAAAACAAAATACTCCAATGGCATATACAGTGGAACCTTGATACAACAAACCGCTAGATAGCAAAGTCCTCAGTATAATGAACAATTTTCTTTATCCAGTAATAGTAAAATGTACGTAAAAGAACCTTGATATAACAAACCTCTATATAGCAAAGTCCTCAGTATAATGAACGATTTTGTTTACCCCCATGATAGGAAATGTGAAAGTACATTGATCTAATGAAACCTTGTAATAGTGAACAAATTTTGCCAGTCCCTATTGAGGTTCCATTGTAGAACAATAAAGGATTAAAATCCCTAGAGATGTTTTGTCCAGCCCCCAGATTGCCCTTGCCATAGTATCATCCTAGTTGATAAATATTATGAAATGTATATTTATTTAATATTATTGCTGATGATTTAACATTTTTCAGCATAAATAGTAAAGGGACAGTTCACAGTCTATCCTATAATACTAAATTATTATCTGAAAACTAATAATATTATCATAGGGTGTTATACAATGTCAGCAAATTATATTAAAATATAAAAACAGTGTTCAATCTGGGCCATGTTTCTGTGTCATTGAAGTGGAATACCGTAAAATTCCGAAAATAAACCCCGGGGCTTATATTTTTCAAAGGCCCTTTCTGAGGGGCTTAGTTTTGGAGGGGCTTATGTACGAAGGGAATTTGTGTTTCAAAATCGATTGGGCTAGCTTGCAGTGGGAAGGAAATTTACCATTTTTGCTTTGTTTTACTTTGTATTCTAGCCTGAAACGAGCACATGACAGGACTGTCATTTCAGACTTTGTCCTGATTATGAGTAGTTTTTGTGTCAGGCATTCCAGACAGACCATTTTTGAAATCACCCAATTTAAAATGCTGTGTGGGGCATATGACCCACTTTGACTAATTTCTAAATTGAACTCTGTAAAAACAGGTTCAGGTGGAGTCTCTCAACGAAGCAATAACTTTTAGTACTTACTGTTCAGGGGTGACATCTCTGACCACCATGTACTGTGTAGTAATTGCTTTCTTGTCCTTAATACCAGCATAACTGAAAGCTGATGGTTGAATGTTCAAACATACTGACAAACGCTGAATAGCTTCCAGGGTCTCCTGGACGGTTAACAAGAAAACAGAGTGAAATGTAGAAAGGACATTGGTGGAAATAATAATAAAATTCAAATTATAGTTATAATCACTGTATTGTACACATAGATAATTATTTTGTATTTTGGTGCAAACTTAATGCCAGATGTACTGCATGGTCATATAGTTAACTTTTTACAAGTATGTACATGTAGTTGGTTTAAAAATGGTTTAAAATTTCAACAAGGGGCCAACCACCTGTAAGAAAATACATGTAACCCTACCCACATCAACACCAAGGCTGCACTTTAGTGGTGGAGGTAGGGATTGGCTGAAGGAACCATGGCCACCCCTTTTTCTGTGAAATTTTGCACTATATTTAAAGAATACTCAATAAAATAAATAGTATCTATATAACTGGCATGTGCCCCAAACCCTGCCCCTCCCTCCCCTTCCCCAACCCCTTCTGAATTTTCTGGATCTGCCCCACACTTGGTTGTACAATGAAAGCAAGAATATGAATAATGCAACCTCCACCAACAGAATCAATACCAACCAATGATCACAATCTGGAATAATAAACTCACCATATTTCTTTTACACAGTACAAATCCAGTGTATTCAGGATCAATCTGTCTGGACAAACCACAATAAAAAGAAGAAGAAGAACAGGAGTGATCCTGAAGAAGCTGTGTCAGGTGCATTAATATACACTGCACTTTTAATAACACAAGAGAAAGCAAAGCTTAATCCTTAGTGAGCTGCAAGTTGGAACAAAATCTGTCATGTACCCAAAGGTCACTTTCGCACTACCTTTCCCTAATATTGCAAAACTCTCTTCAGTCTACAAATTGAATCAAAGTCACCATCTAGACTGTGAGCAAGCTCTTTGGAGCCATCTAGCAGTGGGGCAGGAAAAAGAAGGTAGGCTTGCAACTATGTCTCTGGAATTTGAATATCTGCATTGAAAAAGTCGATGTGAATGCTGATTAGATGACATTAGTAATTACATCATTATCCTTGGCATGTGTTTTTCAATGTTTGCTTACATTTACACTCATTTCTGCTTCACACTGATTGGTGGAAATCTGACAGCTCAGTCGACAGGGAACCACAGGTGAACTGGAGGTGGAATGAATTCAAACTCCAGAGGTCTACGTGGTTGGTTATGGTTGGTTGCAAGCTCTTCTTCCTTTTCCCACCCCACCGCTAGAGCACCCCGGAGAGCTTGCTCACAGGCTTGTCACCATATGGTTGGGTGTGAGTCTGGGTAGAAGTAACACTCTGATTGTGATCTGCAAATGTACACTGTAACTACAAGTTGATCACTAAACTAACACACCTACACACACACACACACACACACACACATTTTTCTACATTTTTCAATACCTTTGGTCATCTTGTGTTCTTTTCTGTTGGCATGGGGATTTAGTTCCTTTAGCCCTCATCCTTATCTGAATATAACTCTTGCCAACATTTCCTGCTATATTTTTATCATCCAGGTTATTAAATGTCTTACTTTCAAGAAATGATCCAAAGTGCTTTGCTAAAAGCCTATGAATCTGAAAACAAACAAAGTACAACAGCTGTTCGTTAGCCCTTTAAGCCCCAATGTCAACATACAAATTCTCCACATTGATCTGCAGATTTCCATACATTATTTTCTTTAGAGAATTAGTTGAGAGAATCTGATAAACAATCAAAGCAGTTTCCCTACGTTACTCATTTTATTAATACTCATAACCTTTTCCTCTGATTGTTTAATAATACAGTCGACTCCCAATAATTCGAACCTTCAAGGGAAATAGAAAAAAGTTCGAGTTATCGGGAGTTTGAGTCATCGAGGGTAAAATTATATAGAAAATGATCTGAATGGAAATGAAAATTGCTTAGTGTTAATGGGAGGTTCGAGTTATAGAGGGTTCGGGTCACCGGGAGTCGACTGTATTGTCTGAAAATTGATGTAATGGCAACAACTGGGATCGAATCACATTTTTATGGAGGGTCAATGTTTATGACCCTTACATCAGCATACTTATTTATTGTCCACTCTGTTCTCCATACCTTTCCAATAATTCCATCCATACAAATTATTATTGTACTGATGGGGAGAACTTGTTCAACAACAAAGACCTTTTTAGTTTTACACTTGCTGATCATTTCCTTTTTTCTCACAACCTTCCTGTTTATTATCCACTCTCCCGAGGGCTTTTCTGGGATAATTCACATTACACTGGTTGGAGGACTTTCGCCAGGCTGCTTACATTCAAATCAACTATTATAAATTATTGATTCCCCACCAAGATGCAATATGGACAATCCTTTTGAAGATTTGTGCATGAAAATTAATTGAACAGATGTATTAGCATACTACATTAATGCCTAACCTTAGTTCGTTGTTGTTTATCTGCACTGCTGACATCAATACTGAGTGTAGAAGGTACCCTTCTATTTTCCCAGTGGGCAAAGCACAATAACCTGCATCATCAAAATTAAAAGAAAATACCAAGTTAGTGGTGTTGATAACAATTCATGTAGTCACTGTAAAATACTAACAAAACTAATAAGTGCAACTTTGGGATAGTAACAATAATATTACTACCGTCTTGCAATGAACAGTGTGATGATAATGATGATGATGACAATGGTGGTTGCCATAACAATGGAGATGACAGATTGACATCAGATGATGACGATAATAATGATAATGACAGTTAATAGGCAAGCCATTCACAGCTTTGATCTTTATGGTCGTGATGATGAAAAAAAGGTAGTGGTACCGGTGTTTGTAACAAAAATGCTTACATATTTAATGACTACAAAAAAGGTAATTATAAAGACTTATGTTAGCACACGGTGATGTTTAATAGTGATGGCCTTTGACAACAGTGATGCTTGTGGTAATCAGAGTAAACTGCAGTGACAATGACAGAAAAAAGGCATTCTAATGGTTCATGGTATTATATAACAATATCAATGTGCTAAATCCTTCTATTATCATTATACAGTATGTGTATTCTTGGCATAATGATCAATACACATGTACGCTCAATATTAATAACTACTACCTGTCTACTTGATCCCTGTCATTAAGTAAGTTGCTGAATTCCCAATATACTTTATCATAACCAACAAGTATTAGAGGAGGTTGTCCCTGAAAAATGAAAGACAAAGTGAACTGGGAGGATAATGAAATTGGGGCCTTACTTGGGAGAAAAGGCGTCAAGAACAAAGAAGCTTGGGCAGCTTACTTTTAATTTACCTCCTGATCTGATTTTGTGGTCTCAGTAAGAAGATGAGGAAAAGCTAAACGGATATTCCTGTGAAGACCTGTGCGCAGCTCCTTTGAGGGTACAGAGCCTACAAAGATATGAAAACTATGTGAGATTCCTGGAACTAACTTTATAGCAATTATTCCTGATCAACATTAATTTTAACAATAAGCTTGCCCAGGGGGTTCTGATTTTTACTTATAAATAAATATCAATGTCAAACAATAATGTTGTATCAGTTTCATTGACATAGGGACATAGACTGCAAGTACCTCTTGTATTAAGAGGGGGGATAAGGGGGGTCCAAAAACCACAATGCTGCAAAGAAAAGAGTGAAAAAAACGCAAAACTGCACTTAAAATTACTAAAATATATCCCTGAAGTTGTGCAACTCGAGAAACCTTGTAGGGACTTGTAGACTTGCGAAACTGTACTTTAAAACAAATAGAAGCAGAACACCATAACAGAACAACAGATTTCTCACCACTTACCGCAAAATAAAATTTCAAAAAACTGCAACACCCGCCTTTGAAATAAAAATTACTGCACAAATCCTTATGCCCCCACTTTTAAAAAGCAGTTTATATATATTTGTTAAAGGCCTTTTCTTGGCTAAGATTTTGGGTCATTGAACTTGTTTGGCTCCTTATTATTATTATTATTAATTTTTTTTTTTTTTTGGGGGGGGGGGGGGGTAAAACAAGTTGCTCTCATTTGCCCCTCCCTGTTCTCCCTTTAATAAATAAAATTAAAATATGGGAAAACCCTCGGGGGCCCACAGGTTTACCAATTACTAAACAAAAACTCTCTTTCGTTTTTCCATTTTGGTTTGAAAAAAAAAACAAAAAAAACAGATTTAATACAATTTTTTACCAAAAAACCAAAACAAACAAACAACTTTCCCCCCCCCTTCCCAAAAAAAAAAATTCAAAAAACCACAAACCCCCCCTTTTAAAAAAAAATTTCTCCCAAAATCCTTTTTCCCCCATTTTTAAAAAAATTTTTTAAATTTTTTGTTAAAAGCTTTTTTTTGGCTTAAATTTGTGTTTTTTTTATTTTTTTTGGTCTTTTTTTTTTTTTTTTTTTATTTTTTTTTTTTTTTTGGGGGGGGGGAGGTATAACAAGTTGCTCTCATTTGCACCTCACTGATGTCACTATAATAAATAATATTATAATATGTGCAAACCCTCTGGGGTCCACCAGTTTACCAGCTTACCAAGAGAAATCCTCTTTTCGCTGTCTCTATTGGTTTCAACAAACATAGCAAACTCTGAGAGTTCATTCATGTTTTCACTGCTTATGCATTTCTCCAAGTTCTTCAGAGCCATATCTTTCAACTCTTCAAATGAGTCTAACATCTGAAATGTTTACATGTAAGACATTAGTGATAATTATTGATCTTAAAAGAATTGAGCATAGCCACTGATAATGAGACTCAAAGTTACATGTAGTAGAGCTGTAAAAGCAGTCAGAATAAAAAAACTTGTTCCAATTTTGTCATGTAAGGAATAGCTTCTGAAGCCATTCATGAGCAACAATTTACATGTTGTAGCTACCATTCTTGCACTATTCAAGTTCCTAGTATTCCCCCACTCCCTCCTTTTAGTGGAGAGGTGATAATTTTTTGATACCGACATACTGGAATAATGGTTAAGGGATATCACAATGTCTTTGCATTCATTTTGGCACTTTGCTTTATAATGCCTGACTATTCTGTGACAGATCTTCACCTGGAAGAACAGATCCCCCTCATTTTTAAACCGAAAAAAGGCTTGTAAGGCTGAGCAAAAATTTGTAATTTTCTGAGACCTGATCCCTCAACTTAACACAAGGTCTGCATGAGCAGGACCCAACCTTTTAGCAGAAGGTTCAGATCTACTAGTTCTTTTACCTGTGTTTACTGGTATATTGAATGGTTAACTTCTGCATGCTGCCATACTGTTAGCGGTAACAAGGTGATGAACTAATAAATTATCCCCTTTGGTTGGGGTGTGTGGAAGTGGGGAATACTTCTACTGTACACGCATAGTCCTGTCTTCTCCTCCTAATTCAAATGCGTCTATTAGACTTTTGCACCAATTATATTTAACCAAATTTATGAAAAATCTGACAACTTTCAAACAGTTCTGAAGACGTTCTGACATCTTAAGAAGGTTGCCATGTGTAGCAGCGCAAAAGGCCAAATCTTGGTGCCACCTCAGTGAGATCACAAATGTCTTGGTGAGTTTAAGGACGTAAGATAGCGTGAGATCTTGGCTTAATATTACCAAGGACTCAGATGTGATATTTAGTGCCATTCACTGGACTATTTTGTGTAGAACTGAGTTCAATTTTTCATGTTAATAGTCACTGAATAAGTAACTCAGAGTTATGAGTCAAGCAAGTGAAATTGTCCTGTATGCAGTGAGTGATGTTTTTGATCCACAGGCATGTGACATAATGCATAATGCATGTGAATTAGCAGGTATACTTAGAAGTCATGAGGGCGAGAGGAATAATTATTTTTTTAGTAAAATCCAACTAGATGGTCAAAAATATCAAGAATAAAAAAAATTTAGCTAGTTAAAGCTAGACTTTAATCCTTTTTTGCCACCAAAAAGCCTGCGCTTTTCACTACTAGTGGGCTATAACATATAGCCTAGTAGTAGCTCAACCAAACAGAATGCAGCATTGATAATAGACCACTAGCTGGATTTTACTAATACAGTATAGCTTGCTGCTTTATACTTTATTTTTAAATTACAGAGGTAGCTGTACCTTCATAAATCAGCCTTATTGGTTCATAAATAAAACGTTATTTTACTTTGCATTACATGTATACGAGCTGTAAAGTACCGTATCAGTTAGCTGAACTCTCAGTTAGTTTCTAGAAGGGAAAGGATGCTGGGAACCATAGTTAAAAGGACTACAACTATGCGTAATGTCATACCTTATTCAAAAACGGCATGTCATCCAAACTTTTTTCTTCTTGCTCTTTCTCTCTCTTCTCTTTTTTAACCTTTGTTTTACTCCTGGAAGACTGATCATCTTGCTCATCTTCCATTGCAGAAACAATTTCACCTGAGATCAGCTTGACCTGATTTCCTTGGCTATCTATTTCAGTAACAACAAAATCTTGCCATCTAATAGCATTATGTTAAGAATGTTTCACAAGATTAATAGCAATCAAAAAGCTTTGTTGCATTCACTGAGACCCCAGGATGGTGAGAAGGAGAAGTTCAAGGAAATGGGTTGATGAGAGAATCTCATACAAAAGGGGCAGAGTTACTTGTTAGCAGACCCTTTTGGGCAGGTTTCAAAAGTTATTTGGACCTTAAAAGATCTACCATTTCAAAAAAGACCACCAAATAAGAGTTATGGGATAAAAAATAATGTTAATTCTCATTGAATGCTTTTTCTTACTTTATTTGACATTCTGATTTCAATTGGTTTTCTTAAAATACATGTATTCGTCACCCTACAGAGCAGATGTTACCAATATTGGGGGCACTCAGGCTGGTTTTAGGCAGCAAGCACATAAGATGAGGGGGGACAAGAAATTATGCTTGAACACAGGTTACTGTTCTCTCTCTTCTAGTCATCTAGTGAATGCTGGGTGATTCATGCCATGGTGTATGATATATAATATTATTAATCTCATCTTTCATTCTCCTGTACTCAATGGGTAGATTGCATTCATGTGAACTAACATTGATACCCCGAAGTGAATGCTAAACATTCAGGACTTGATACCAGGGATCTGAGTACAGCGATGGTGAACCATGGTGTTTGGGAAGAAATCTCTAAGAATTTCCGTCAATTCTGGTGGTTGAAGGAAAATGATGATGACGCATGATAGGGGACTGATGAGTGATATAAGCTGTTAAAATCATCAAGATCATGCTGATTCTACCACATCTCTCATCCCACCATTCAAAGCAGAAAATACTGCATTTGTTCTAGTTCTTTTAACTAACAAAGCAATAATCCCTGAATTCTGCAACTAGTACAGGCTTAGATGTTTGAGTGAGCTCCTATTTTCACCTTTTTTTGGTCATTGCAATTAAGGCACTTTTTGTTTACGAGACCTCAGATGATGCCCAAGTGAGTCCATTTCAGTCACATTAGTAAGAGCAAACAGCACATTCTTGTAGTTTACATCTGCTGCTTGAATCAAGAGCAAGCTCTCTGTGGGGGCTCTAGCAGCAGGGGGAAAAAGTCAGGAGACTGCAGGAGACCTGTGGAACCACAGACAACGCTAGAGGTGGAATTCAAATTGTATGGACGTTACTGTAAGCAATTCCTCCTAGCCTGTAAGCAAGAGTGAAGAGCTTGCTCACAGGCTAATGCATGGGCGGAAGAGAGCAAACAATAACCTGTCTACGCGCGTTATTTTACCCTTTTTCCTCCTCTTGCATTGCATGTCTTGTGCTTTGCGCTTGGGCCTTGAAACTCGCATGAGTGGCCCCTGTTGTGCATTGACATTCCAACCTGAGCGCCCTACGTGACGCCAAAATCTACCCCTTTTCCATATCCTTTCCCTAACCCGCGGCTAAAGGCGAGTGAATTTTAAAAAAGTATGCAAAATTACCTACCCTCTTATCATTATCCCTAAATATTTAATAATTTCAGGATACGTTTTCTTGATCTGTCCCTTGAATCCATTTAGTTCACAACAGAGAAAACATTCAGCACCAAATGACATTTTGTATTAACTGACAGGAGCGCGAGGATGCTAACGCGCTTGGTTACATAGCTGTACATAATTCACTTTCATATATGAAGCCCTGTCTTGTCGTGAGTGATTCACTGACCAGAAACAGTAACGGCTGACAAATAGATTGGCGGTCTTTCGCGGTGGTTAGACGTTCCTGTCAAGAGGTTAGCTTGGCCTTTTTCCCGTTTTTGTGGACCATAATGGAGCTTCTTAAATGTGAGTGGGGCTCTTGCGAAGAGAAGTTTGCTTCTTCTGATTTTCCTGAGTTTAGAGAGCACGTTGAAAGCCATTTGATCGAAATTTTCCCAAAATATAATCGAGGTTTCTCCGAAGACTCGATCCCTGATAACTTCGCTTGCAGTTGGCGAGAATGTGGCTGGGATTCGCCGATGGATGCTGGCGATCTGATCCGCCATGTTTTCTTCCATGTTTTTCACACAAGAATAAAGCTTGAAGGCTTTAAAAAGCAACAAGAAATGAAACTAGCGCCGTGTGCTTTGGACGGTCAGAGTCGTAATCTCATCCCCGAAAACCCTGAGCCGTTTCTGTGCGAGTGGAAGGAATGTAATGTTATATTTAACTGCCCGACGTTGTTTTACCGGCATGTAGATAGTCATGCTATGGCTGTGGACAAAAATTTAGTGGAAATAAGTGAAGATGGAAGAAAAAAATTCTCTGTAAAGTGCCAATGGGAATATAATCCCGGGGAAGGTAAGCTAAGGAATGAGTAAGCTTAATAATGCCATTTTGTGTTTCTCGTGGCCGCCTCCTTTCTCTTCTCTCTACGGAAGAAGGAGGATGGTATTCTTGTTTGACTCCATGAAAAATTCGCGTCCAGTGCGTTTACCCCACAAATTTATTTGGGATTTAAAGATCTTGTTGTGAGTTTTGGATACTTCCAACAAGCTATAATTATGTGCCAAGGAAAAGCTTTTTGTAGGAAGGATGAAAACTAGACTATAAGAAGTCCATCATTTTTCTTAGAGATGGTAGAGCAAGCAAAATGCGTGACCACATGTGAAAATCACCACCCATGAGAAAGCTAAAGTGATGATTTTCACGCACGCTCCAGTATGCAGAGTATAGCAATTGCACGCATGAGCCCTTTTTGAAAAAGCTTTTTGCACACACTAAAATCGTAGCATGCCACATCCCTTGCTTACACTTTTGCTTTCTCATCAGTATGGTGAGGTTATATACAAATGAATGGACTGGCAATTTGTCTGTAATCTTGTTTGTAGCCTTTCTTTTGAGTGAACTGAATGGTAAAGCATGAACATACTAGGGGGGTCTGGGGGGCATGCTCCCCCTGGAAAATTTGAAATTTAGGTCATCTAAAACAGCTGGAAATGCGCCTAAATCTTGCATCCTTTTAATACTGAGCCTCTCTATGGGCATGCACCCGTATTGTGGTATAAAAAATCGTATTGCACTTGGTGCACGCAGCTAAAATTGGCTCTGCACACACGAGATCTCATTGAGTTCTGCCATAAATGTAGTTTGCAGACTGGCGCACACTCGCTTGCGCTCTCCACCACCCCTGGAAAAATTAGGGACCATAATTTGGGACCAACCTTGAAACTCAACTGCTCCCAGGATTCAAACTGAGGCCATATTGGTGGGGACAAGTGCTCTCAGCTCTGCACCACCCATTCTCTCCAAGAGTTATTGTTATGAGTAGCTGTAGTTACACTAGCTATTTTGCCTGTACGTGAAAAATGGTCTTGCCTATGGGGAAAGCTCCTTTTTCTTTGGTTTGGAGGAGGGGGGGAGGGGATTAACCGATTTTCTTGCAATTATTGCCTTCAGTAAATTCCCATGGGTCCATAAGAAAAGATTATTGCCCATCACAGGCATAGAGTGTAAGTCCTGTGGTTTATAAAGAAGACAACGTGGGCCAACTAATCAAGAAAAATGGTTATTTTGTTTTAGGAGCAGCTTCACAATAGGTTCTTTTGTTATTTTGTGAGAAGCAAATAAGACAATGATAGTGACTGGGTATTTTGAAGTTAAGCCTTCATGTGTGTTTACATGAATGTTATTTTGCAAGTCCCCCTACTCCTAAACGCAAGATGTATTAATGTTTAGCGCTTTTTATAAAGTTTTTATTTCATTAACTTTTTAAAATATTTTTCTTTTAAGTGTGCGATTTTTCAACTGCAAACCACTATAAACTGAAGGAACATTGCCGAAGTCATACTAGAGAGAAAATTTTTGCATGCAATACTTGTGGTGGAATGTTTGCCAGCAGAACTAAGCTTGTAGACCATTTAGTAAGACAGAATTCATCTGGATGTAAGTGTGGCATCTATTTAGTACGCTATTATCTTATTAAGAATGGTAATAGGACTGAGTGAAGTCCAGTTCAGTCTGTAAATTGTGTAAGTAATTAAGGAGTCCTGGATTTTGTTAATCATGAGTAAATAAATTGTTAATCGTAACCATTACAATTATTTCTAAGAAAACACATTTATTCTTTTTTTGTGAAAGAGCTTTCAATACCAATAATTTATCCAAAATTAGAGAAAATACCTTTGGTAGACACACTGTCTAGTGTTACAAATTTTACCATTTTGAAAATCTCCAGTTTGGTAGGGTATGTGGTTGTTGCTATGGTTATTGAAATAAATTTAGAGTACACTCAATATGATTGGCTGATGTAACTTTCTGACGATGAGTGTTCCATTACAGCCAACTGTCTGATTACACTGTCCCATAACAACCCTACACAATGATTAGAGAAAAATAAAACAGTTAATGCACCAATCAAATTTGAGGAAATTGTAATGGTTATGATTATACATGAAGTCAAACTGATGGGGTAAAATTATATGGAGCATGCTTGTGCTTGGCTTCCTACATGTAAATATACCCAGTAATACTCGAATCTTGGAATACAGGGGGTGTATGTTAAAGACGTTAAGAGGTTAAGGATGTTTTAACTTAATCTCATCCAGCTCTAAGTCGATGTCATGGAAATATTTGGTGGTTCAATTTTGTTTGACTTACATCATATATCAAGATACTGTACACGTAGAACTGTTTATCAAGAATAATAATCATTAAAAGAGAAACTGAACGAAACTGAACTGTACACCATAGAGTTCTAAAGTGTGACGTCAGAAAAAAAATTAAATTTGTGAAATTATGGGATTTATTGGGATATTCTGAAAGAACAACATCCAAGAGGCTTACTTGCCAAAAACTAGCATTGTGGGGCAAGTTGTCGGTGAGATATTAGCCCCTTTATGCTCTGATGACTCCATACAAATGACTCAAGTCCAGTTAAGAAGGATTTGTATGGAGCTGTCAGAGCATAACTGGGCTAATATCTCAGAGACAATTCACCCCCAAAAGCTAATTTTTTTGGCAAGTAGGCCTCTTGGACATTGTCATTTCAGAATATCCTGAGAGATAAACTGGACCTAAGGGCACTTAATATATATTTAAAATCAGAATTGGTCAACATCCCTTTTTGCTAAAAACCCATCTCTGCCATGCGTTATATGATTTACAAATAGACTGACTTGGCTGGGCAGGCCTGATTAATAGTGGAATTCGCTTTACAACTGGACTGGTTTGGCCAGCTAGTTCCAATGAGACTTTTAAGTGTCATTTGTGTTCATTCTAGGGAGTTGTCCATTTTATAAAATGTAGGTGTCTTTTTTAGTGAGGCGTGCATCCTATGAAGGTGTTTGTTAAGAGATTTTAGTGGACAGGGATGATCGAATGGGGGCAAAAATCAAAACCCAAAAAAATCCCTGGACCAAAAATTTACCTCCCCCCCCCCCAACCCCTAACCAAAAAAAAAAAAAAAAAAAAAAAATACCACACAAAAATTCCGAACCCTAAAAAATTCAAAAAAAAAAAAAAAAATAAAAAATGGAAAAAAAAAAAATTTTAAAAAAAAATTTTGTTAAAAGAGAAAAAGACAAGTCAAGACACCAAACAAATAACAAAAACGTATTTTGGCCGTCTAGTTTCAATGAGTCTTTTAGAGGTCTTTTGTGTTCATTTTAGGGGGTTTTGCATTTTATAAAATGTTGGTGTTTTTTTTAGGGAGGCGTGCATCCTATGAAGGGGTTTTTTAAAAGATTTTAGGGGACAGGGATGATCGAATGGGGGCAAAAACCAAAACCCAAAAAAAACCCTGGAACAAAAATTTACCCCCCCCCCCCCCATCCCCTAACCAAAAAAAAAAGCAAAAAAAAAAATTCCCACGCTGAATTTCCGAGCCTTAAAAATTTCCAGAAAGCATTAAATGATATAAGATGGAAAAAAAAAAGTTTTGAAAAACAAGTTTTGTTGTTACTTTGTGTTTTGTTGCAGAAGTATGTGGCCAGGATATGCAGTCACTACATGAATCTTCAGATTGTTTTGAATATCGCCAAAACTCCCTAATTAAACTAAGCCATTCCAAAAAATTCCTGCCAAAATTTCCAACCCTAGAGAAATCCTGCAAATGAAAATTTCAAACCCCCCAAAACCCTTTGATCATCCTCGTCACTTGAAATCCCAAGTACCCCCTGGGGAGTTGTCTTTCAACGGTTCAAATTTTATGTATCGTTTGTTTATAACTCCTTAATATTCATTAAAATTACTTAAAGCAAAATAAAATTGGAAAAAGGGTAAAGTTAAATCACAGCTCATGATATGATGACATAATTCTATATTGTTTTCTTTTCTTGAAGATGAAAGTTTCCAGTGCTCACACTGTTTAAAGCATTGCGGCTCAGAACGCATATTACGAGATCACATGCGACACCATGGTATGTAACAAAATTATCTCAATAAATAAAAACAAGTGATGATTCTGTAGTTGCCATAGCACATCCAGTTGATTGTTCTTTGTCTAACAATATCCTCGATCAAATTCGAATTTGGAAATTCTAGTATATTACAACAGGGGAAAACCAATATACCAATTCTCAAAGTAATGATTAAAAATACTGACAGCGTTTTTCTTTTCACGTTTTTCTCTTGTAGTTAACAATGTGAAGTGTCAGTTTTGTGACATGACCTGCCCAAATGCTTCTGCTCTTAAGCAACATGTGAAATTCAGACATTCAGATGAAAGACCCTTCAAATGTGATGTATGCAGTTACACGTAAGTTGTGGGTCACTGATATTAAATTTGCTGTCAATAACAATTCATTTAATTAAAAAAAAATCCTTGTCTTTTCTGCATTCGATGGCTAACAATTTTTATCAAGTACAGTAAAAAATAGCAGTAACAAAATCCTTTTATACTTTTGACCATGTACATAATATTATAGTAGAATATTTTCTAATTATATATAAAATATTATATCCTTTGATTAAACAATTGAACAGGCCAACATTCACATTTTGAAATGGAGGAGTTGAGATGTCTGAAAATGCCACTAGTTTTGTCTTGCAACCAATCAGACAGCAATTTTGAACAATGTAAGATTTTCAAAGGTAAAGCAAGACTATTGGATGTACTTTCAACATAAAAAATCACAAAAGGCTGAATGATACTCTTCGGGTAATTTATTTAAATGGGAATAACCTATGGTAGCAATAATGCGGGCCTTCCCTTGCTTGCTCCCCATTCTAACTCGGTTGTAAGACAGACCTTTATTAAAGTAGAACTCTAAACATGTACACAAAACCTTTGTTCACAAATCATACTTTACATAGATTAGACTATGTCTAGATGGAAGGTAAAATAAAAGCCTGTTAGCCCCCTGATACCTGCACTCCACCACATATTTAACATGATTTACTACAATTTTAAATGTGATTATTTTTAAAGTTTGGGTAAGAATTCAACTTAATAGCTATTTTCTCTTCAGGTGCAAGATGCCTTCAGATCTGGCACGCCATCGAGAATTCCACAATGCAGTTTTAGCATACCACTGTGATGTGGAGGGCTGTAATTTTTCTGCCAGATCCATGCAAACTGTAAAGAGACATCAGAAAGTAGAACACCAGGTTAGAACAACAGTCAAACTCCACTTTAAGGACTCCTCATTATTACGCACAGTTTATGGACATTATTACAGACCCGCTTAATAGTCCAGTTTTGAGTTCGCTATGACTACTAAATAAAAGAAATGAAGACACATTTTTTACAGGCTTAGCCTCAATGTGAATAAATATATTCACATATTTGTAAAAGAAGAAGACCTGTTTATTACTCTGTCTATTGAATTCTTCACATTTTAAACACTTACTTGCTGGAATTTGCTAAGTTTTTACTTTATGTTAACCCTGTGTGAACGTGTCGATAATGTTTGTATGCAGTGGTAATTTTTAATAGTGAAACTGGACTATATGGACACCCTGTTAATTGCAGACACTTTCTTTGCCCCCCCTTAGTGTCTGTATTAAGTGTTAATTTAACAGGGTTGACTTTAATACTGCTACGTCTCTCTTTTGTCTTTATTTGCCAGTTTTAATTTTTGATTCAATACAGTGTATGCCAAACAAAATTCTTTGTTAAAAAAATGCTCGTGAAAAATGAGGAGATCAAAGCAATTCCTCTTGGTGATCATTAATTGTTAATTCTTGGATTAAACCTTTTCTACATTGTACTTGATTATGTGTGAATATTGTGCGACAAAATTTGATATTGGTCACTCTTCGCACTTAAAGAGAATTTTTAATTTTTGATCCAATACAGTGTATGCTAAACAAAATTCTTTGTAAAGAATGCTCTTGAAAAATTAGGAGATCAAAGCAATTCCTCCTGGTGATCATTAATTGTTAATTCTTGGATTAAACCTTTTCTGCATTGTACTTGATTATGTGTGAATATTGTGCGACAAAAATTGATGTTGGTCACTCGTGGGACTTAAAGAGAATTTTTTTTAACCTTGTTTGATTCTCAATTTCCTTTGTCTTTTAGCCCTAATTCAGTTTGTAATATTAGAGCTAGAAGGTAAAGGAAGTTGAGAATCCACCTAGATTTTTAAAAAATAATAATCTAATCTTGATTTTTATCTATGAGATCTATGGTTTAATTTATCAGCCTGATTGATTGTCTCATAAGTGCCAGGGCTCTCATTAAGAGGCGGGGACCGGGGATTTCCCCTGGCTACTACGAACATGGTCCCCGGCTGCTTTCATAGGAAAATAGAAGAAAAATAGAACCAAAAGAAATCCCTAGCTGTTTGATTCCCCGCCTACTTGTTGGATTTATCCGGCAACTTGAAATCTTGGTGACAACCCTGTAAGCGCTCTGTCTGTGAACATGTCCTGGGGCCTGGGACCCATCACACTGAAGCCACAGTCAGGTTCAGTGGCAATTCCAGTGAAGTGAAATAGAATTTGAAAAAACAACAACTTACAACAAACAAACAAACAAAAATAAAAAAAACAGTATTATGCATCGGATCTATTATGTTTTATTTTTTTTAGGGTATTGATTTATATCGTTATGAGTGTCATGTGTGTGGGCAGCGATACACTCGAGGATCAGGACTAACAAACCATCTAAAGAAGAAACACAAATTCAGTTGGCCGGCTGGTCATCCACGCTTCAGGTTGGACATCAACATGCACATTCTCTTTACTGGTTTCCATTGTCAAAGTGCCAGGCTTTCTCTGGCTGTACATATTTCATCATGCATCCTTGATTTTGCTATGCAGTTTCATGAAAAAATTTTCATTTAGTCTTGGTGACTACTGTAAAATTTGCCAATATAAAATTATTTGAATTGCCTTGAATAAAAAACAGTTATTCTCTGAAGTGGAGGTGGCTAGTGGTGGAAATTTAGCAAGCCGCGAGGCAGAAAGGTAAATGTCAGCCACTAGCCACGGACAGTCAAACAGCCCATCAAACAGCTGCACTCATTTTTGTACCATTGCTGTTTTTGTGATGGTTATGATAATGTTATTGTTGATGATGATAATGATGATGTTGATGATGATGATGACGATTTTGCCTATTGTCTCCACACAGGTACAAGGAGTGTGATGATGGCATATGCCGCTTACAAACTGTGCGCTTTGAAAGCCTCCATCTCTCACAGTTATTAAATGAGCAAGAGGGTCAAACTAACTCTCCTGTGGATAATGCCAGCTCTCCAGCAACTTCAGGGGGATCTCCAGAAACATCTGCAGTAGGGTCTCCGTGTTCGAATGTAGAAGACCCACTTGAAGATCAGCGTTTTCAAGATCTCCTCGAACAATATGGGCTGAGTGACAATGGCAGTGAAACGCTAGTTAGAAAGCCAGACAGCTGCGCAGGTCCTATTAGACACTCACCAAAGAGAAAGCCAACTATGGTACACCCCTATGAACGGCCTGACTCACCAGAGCTTGATCTGCCTCAAGCGTTGCTTGATCTACACGAGGCTGCAATCAGGCTTGCAAATGCCGAACATGCAAATTGATACTTTTTGGCACAAAAAGTATCAATTTCATATCAAATGTAAAATTTTTAAAATGGATTCCCACAAGGCATAGTTGTTTCTGTTTATCTTGGCTTTCACGTGAACAGCATCAGGAGTACTTTTACTCAAGGTTGTGTAGGGATGTGATGTGTAGATTGTCAAACCACAACTGCCTAAATGAAGATAAAACCTTGCCATGTTTCTGCCTTTTTCAAGACAATAATAATTATTGATGTTTGCGTCTTTGATTTGCGACAAGCAGTGTGATTTGTTTTACAGGGCAGTTTGTACCATTGTATTTTGTGGGCGATACAAGATGGGCGGCCTCCAACAAAAATTTTTTTTGGTCGAAAAGTAAGGGGGGGGGGGGGGGACCCTCCCCTTGATCTGCCACTGGTTTATTGTATATGCTAAAACCCTGTCTGTGATACTATGTAGTTGAGAACAGTCTCTATGTATGCAGCACATTCCTGTGTAATGCTACACTATATTATTGTACTTTGAAAGCAAATTAAACCCCACACCTCTCCCCATGGTTAGCTTTTTAAATAGAAAATAGTAAATAGTAAACGATTTTATTCCAAAGATCACTTTATTATTAAACTGAAAGCCTCCATGTCAAAACATTCCCCGGCCCCATCATTTCCTTTTTAGAGGGGATGTGTTTCATGGAGCTCTTCAATATTGTTATAGAATAAATTTAAATGGTTAAGTATTTTTATTTAAAATATTATGACAGCACACCTTTATTCTTAAAATAAATAGGTTTTTATCCTTGTCCCTGCTGTTTTAATTCACGGTCCTTGGTTTCTTGCCCAGAGTTTATAACTTAAACTTTACTTAATGGATGTTTATTAATGTAATTTGATGAAATCTCACATTTTGTAGAGTTTTCTTTAACTGGAAAAATTATACTTGTTGTAAAATCTCACCGGCAATCTTAATGTGTTTGTATGAAGTTGTTGAAGAAAAATTAAATTCTTTTGTCTGTTGGTATTCAAGTCATTGACTGATACATAGGCCCGGGGGGTGGGGGGGGGGGGGGTACCCCTATAAATTACTACATGGGGGGGCTCCTACCAAAAGGGAACCTTTTTCAAGCTTCAGGCTCATAGTAGTGTAGGGATTTCATGAGTCGAAGTTTATGAAAGTGCAAGGGTATCTGTCATTTAGGTATCCTTCATTATCTTCATTCCAAAGTTTTTAGAAATGGTAAGCAGTGTTCGTAAGTACATATGAGAAAGGGATACTATTTTCATTTTTAAATGGAAGGTAAAGAGATCGAAGGGGTTCATAAAATGGTATTTAAAAGGATTAGGCATATCATTGAACGTTAGGGCCAAGGCTCCCATAAAAACTTTGTTGAGTAGTCACCCCCATTGACCTTTCACACGACCTTGAATTACTGGTACTGGGTTATTTAAAAAAAAAAAAGAGAAGAAGAACAAACAAACAAGAAAATCATCACCCCCATATATAACCTGCCATCTGTAATTGTCCAAAGGCTGTTAAGACCCCTCCCCTAAAAAAGTTGAGGAACTAATACATTTCTGCTGTGAAATAATGTTCATCTCTTGTCTTCACCTTTGCTATTTTTTTTCTGTTGACAATAACAATAAATTATACTCTATCATGGATAAAATATTGCCAAAACTGATTTTGATTGCCTATATATTTCTGTAATCAATTACAGACTCTGCAAACATTTTTTTCCCGGAACCCCGATATAACAAAGCCCTAGGTATAAGGATCGGCCCAAAAAGAAGATTTTACTCTAGCTGGAATAGCCTTTACTTTCCCGAGATCTTTTCACAAAGAAACTTAAGGATTCATGCGATTCGGCGCGGCGATGGAAAGCACTTTACAGCGAAACTGTGCTCGTTCACTTGCTTTAGATGAGAAGACTCACGAAAGTATTTGAATGAAATAATTTTCACAAGAGATGGTGCTGTTCCAAGATGTTTGCATGGTCTGTTATTTATCCAACAAAAGGTAAACATCCTCGAGAACGGGAGCATCCGCGGTGGACCGTAAGATCTTTTAGATTTACCGCTGTAAACAGCTGCATTAAAATATAACAACAACAATAACAATCGCCTGTTAATCCTACAAGCGTGGCCTGTGAAACTATGTAAGAACCAGAAGAAAGCGACATATTTCAAGAACAGTCGTTGACCAAAATACACTGAAAAAACTAACGGAGGAACCGTTGCCAACTAAGAAAGTAAGAAGAAGAAAAAAGGTTCTGGAAGAAAAAGAGCGTGCAAGTATTCGAGCATAGTATTTGACCTTGCGCGTGATCTATTTTAGCAACTTGTCGAATAGTTTCGAGATAAACTAACAGCGATTTTCCAAAAATTGCTTCTTTTATGGCACTGCTCAAACTCTTAAACACAGGATCGTGAAGACTGTGAAAAAACATTCGCCCTTGCTGTTTGTCGTTGTGTCCCTGAGAGCACCTAAAGATTGGTAAGTCACGACGGCGGATTCACTCGTCCTCGAGGATATTTACCTTTCCTTGGTAAGAGAACGGACAAAGCAAACTTGAAACAGTTATTTACCCATTCTAATAACGAATCTGAATTCTTCATCTTACCTTCCACTGTGCGAATTTGTTGAGTTGAGTCAAAGCACCGAAAGACAGAAAACATCCACTTCTAGTTTCCATTTCTCATGTCCTCGACGTCAACGTTCTGGTTGCTTATTAAGGTCCCTATTGCACTCGGTTGAGGTAGATGAAGTGCTGGCTGGGATGGTGATGGAGGCGGGGGGGGGG